ACTGCTGCTTTAATTTTGAAAAAAAACTAACAAAAATATTAAAGTTGCAAAAATTTGGATAAATTGCATATTATTAAAAATAGTACTGTAATGAATATTTTAAGAGTAAAAAAATTTAATAATTGTAAATTGGTTCCTTGTGGTTTCACTTGTGGTTTATTTGCATGGTTTCCTTGTGGAAGTGGTTAAATTGTGGTTCCTTGTGGTTCAATTATTAAAACTGTAATGATGATTTTATGAGTTTGTACAAGAAAACATTTTTCATTTGATATATATCATTTAGTAAGACAAAAGTATTTCGAAAAAAAAAAAAAATCGGATTTTCCGGGATGCGAACCCTGGCCCCCTCACATGTGAAGCGAGAGACATACCAATAGACCATGGAGCCTCTTTAGCATGGCGAAAATTATACACAAAGATTAAGTCACATACATGTATATATTCACGTTCAATATATTGTCAAAATTTTACACAATGCATGGTGTCTAATTTATCCTTTATTAAACAGTTCTAATAGATGTAATAAGAATATAAAGTCCGCCGAGAACTTGTTTTATACGTAATAACTCTCCTCATGCCCCTGTGCTAAAAATAGCGACATGTAATACAATAAATACTAATAAAACAAATGGGGTGGGACACTTTGAGAGGGGTGAGAGAGGTCCTAGGGACTTTTGGTATAAAATTACATTGCAAAAGCTCAAAATCCTCTTTAAATATTGCCCGAAAACGATAGTGTTACACACAAACAGAATGTATACATTTAAGACCTCGAACTTTGACCTTTTGACCTCAAAATCAAGAGGGGTCTTCCTTAAGCCACAGGGAGTTGTTATGTAAAATTTCATTGCAAAAGCTCAAAGGGTTCTTGAGATATCGCGCGGAAACGAAAGTGTTATAACAGAGAGAATTTGCAAATTTATGACCTTGACCTTTGATCTTTTGACCTCAAAATCTATAGGGGTCCTCTTTAGTCCATAGGGAGTTGCTATGCAAAATTTCATTGCAAAAGCTCAAAGGGTTCTCGAGATATCGTGTGGAAATGAAAGCGTTACAGACAGACAGAAAGACGGACGGATGGAGGGACAGACCCAAATTAATATCCCCCACTTTTCAAGCGGGGGACAATATAAAATTTATATAGCGCTCTATCGATTTGAGTCCTCTAAAGCGCTTTACAATTAAAATATATAAAAAGATAGTAATTGAAAATACATATAATCATATAATATAATACATACATGTACATAAAAGTAGTCAAGATGTCACTGTCTAATTATAAAACCATATTTATATTTAAAAGAGAATCACAGATTATAGGCTAGCTTAAAAAGGTGTGTTTTAAGATCCTTTTTAAAACAAGTCAGTGAAGCACATTCTCTAAGCTTAAAAGGCAGTGAGTTCCAGAGACTAGATGCGGCCTTGTCTAAACGACAGTCTCCATATGTTTTAGTGCGTGTCCGAGGTACCTAGAGAAGATGTGCGGATTCTGAACGCAGTGATCATGGCGGGTTGTAAACAGTTATGATATCTCTCATGTAGACTGGAGATAGGCTGCGAAGGGATTTGAAAGTGTACAGAAGGATTTTATATTGGATTCTGTATTCAACTGGGAGCCAATGAAGATGGATTAGAGTTGGAGTTATATGATCGGATCTTTTGGAGTGTGTAATTAGTCTTGCAGCAGAATTTTGCACTCTCTGAAGTTTGGCGATGTGGTGGGAAGGAACGTCGTATAGCAATTCATTGCCGTAATCTAGTTTAGATGTTACTAAGGAATTAACTAGTCTAGAGCTTTACATGCTTCGTCACTAATATAGGAACGGATGCGACCAATTCTGCGAATGTTCATATATGCCGAACGTGAAACTGAGAAACTGGCATGCTGAAAAAATAACACATTTGAGAAAAAAGTGTGATAAAATAGCTTAATCAAGCTATTCTTAATAGCTTAATAAAGTTATTTATTATACCTCTACTGTAATTACTCTATATAAAATTAATACCATAAAACTATTTCCCCGAGAAGAGACTATTTTCATCATCTGAAGAGTGAAGACTACTCCCTGGAAAATCAGAGCTACTCCCTGGGACTACTCCCTCATGAATATTTATTAGTAATTTTAACCAATCAAAGTGTTCAGTGGGCGAAGCATTAAAGGAATCTCGAGTCTGTGATGTCATGTTATTAGCAATGTAACTATGACGTCAAAACATGTGATGTCAAAATCATACTTGAATTCTAGCAAAATGAAGACAACAATAATTCTTCAAAATGTCAATGAAAATACTTTTTAAAAATAATTTAATTGTTTAAGGACACTATGCATTACTTATCATACAATCTGTTAAACCGTGTGCATTTGTAATCATTATGCCTCAACAGTGTTTCTTTTAAATGTTGGAATGTCTGGTAAAAAAAAAATTAAATCGCCTATGATTGTTTCGGTATAATGAAACAGTTATGGAATGTGAACTCAAGAAATAGCAAATTTATGGTTCCTCTCGGCAGGAAACTATTTCTTTCGGTGGCGAAGCCGCCGAGGGAAATAGTTTCCTCCCTCGGGGAACTATAAATTTGCTATTTCCCTCGTACCCATTCCATAACTGTATAATAGCTAAATCAAAAGATTGTACCAGACCTGTTATTGGGATGTAAAGCTCCCAACAGACTAAATGTCCAGTATACTGTACAATCACTTATCAGTACATTTACTGCTTTAGCTACAGTAGCTGAGTAGAGTTCTTGAAATATTTTTTTCACTGTCAGTCATTTGGATTGACTGCCATGTGAAGTTGATCAGTCCAGACAGATTTCTATCAGTCCCAAAAAATTCAATAAAAAGATGAAAACTTTGTTTGATTTGATTATCAATACATTGTGCACCCTGTTTCAATAAACACTGCACACTTCATGCTGATTTGATCGTCAATTTTCTTTGAATTATCTCGGGGGTCGATTTTCTTCATAGGTTTTTAATCTAGTTTGATTTTCTCACTTGGCTTACCGTAGCACCGTCAACAAACCTGTTTTATCAGTTTACCAATCATAGTTTGACACTTGCGTTCATCGAAGAAGCCATTACAAGATTGCAGAAAAGAGTTTGAAAGATTACGATCGGACGTTATAGGGAATTTGTACGAAATTTTGTCAGATTTTCGCAAGTTCCTCTGTCAACATTTACCGGTCATTTTGACTGACACAGAACGCAAAATAATCGGTCTTTGGTTGATTTTATCGGTCTTGCCGACAGGACCGAAAGATTTCAAGAACTCTGCTGGGCTTTATTTACCTACTAATTCATATACTACATGGTGGTAATTTAGCACAGCATGAACAGGTGAACAAGTCCAGTCCAAAGACTATTTCTACCTATGTAGCTACTCATAGCTACGTCCATATCTTTCTTACAGAGGGACATTAAAGTAGCTATTTTTACCTACTTTTGCTTTCATGCATTAAGGGTGTGTCATGACCAAACCAGGAAGGTCATTTGGTGGCACAGTTCATACAGTCACACTGATGATGGATAGGACAAAAATTTGGCCAAAAAATGATTATTTTGTATATTATCAATTTTGCATACAAACTTATGTAAAATTGATAAACTTGGTATGTAATCATTTTTTCACACAAAGATTGCCCATGACATCATTAGTGTGTGTATGAAAATATGGTATTCAACCATGTTACGCTGTTCAAGGTCACTGGAAGCAAAATTTTCAAAAATCATGTTTGATACAGAAAGTAGGTAAAAACAGGTACTTTGGGTAGGTTTAAATACCTAACGTAGCTATTAATACTGAGCATCGCAAAGCGACACTTGTAACTGCGAGCTCTAACGACAACGCCTGGGCGAAGAGAAAATTTGGACTACTGCACATTCATTCCATAGAATTTTTTCCGCAGTAATTTTGACCCACAATGCATCGCTTCGTACACAAACGCTAAAGCCATGTTCTCGCGAGAATAACGACAAAAGTTAAAAGAAAAATAAACTTGTCTTGATTTAATGAATTTTTCTGTTTATTGCAGAAAAATAATCATAAACTGATTGAAATCAGCCCTGTTCACATGGTTCAGGCTTCGGCAACATGCAAACGACGTCATGTGACGTCATAGTCTTATACACACCAAATTCACGAGCGGTTTGACGAGTCCGATTTAAATGAAAACTGGGTAAGTACCTGCGCTCGCCCTAACGGTCGCACCGTCAACATATTAGCTACGCAGGTAGAAATAGTCTTTGGACTGGACCTGGTGAAGTAACCAATTAACCATATATCATTAATCAGAAAAATTAAAATTAATAAGGGAGTAAAAGGTAGTTAATTTTAGATATTAGCATAATGGGATATGAAGTATTATGGTCAAAGCATAAAACATAAAACCATAATGCTCAGTTCTGCATCTATATATTGAGATACATTAGGACTGTATCACTAGGTGCATCTTATTTCACCATGTATTATAATTATATTTTCTTCAAATAGACAAAGGGAAGTACAAGCTAGAAAATGGACATTTGTTAGAGATTGGGAAAATGAACCAACATCATCTGAGGAAGACTTTAGAACTAGGGTAAGGTGTATTGATTCCACCTTTCATTCTCTGCTGAAAAGTGTACAATAGTGGTAATCCTTGAATACCCAAATGACAGCTATAAATGAGTAAGAGAACATGAGTTTGGGATATAAAAAAAAATTGGAAGATTTTCTACTGGTATCCATAATATACGATAGAAGGTAGTTGACAAATCATTGCTGAGATCCAAGAAAAAATGACCCCCCCCCCCCCCCCCCCCAAAAAAAAAATGCTGTACAGCTGTTGTCTAATTGTGTGGATATGGAGTATGGGTCAGAAGTCTTGAGTAGAAATATAATAGTCATAATTGTAGGAGAAACATTTTGTCAATTTGTCATGCACATGCTAATATGCTAGTTCTATTATGTATGTTCAAGTATTAATAAAATCCCTTTATTTTATTTTCCTTCTCTAGATAAGTCCCCGTGCTGAGATTATAACGTCACCAAGACCAGAGGTGATCCATCTTCCTGGAGGAAGACAAGTTATCAGAGGAAGTCCAGTACCAGTGCTCATGAACACAAGTAATTTATTTGAAGAATTCAGTACTAAATGTATAAACAATTTTAGATTGCTTATCAGGTTTAATCTGAAATTGTCCATTGATAACTTAATAACTTGCAGGGATGACTTGCTTGTCTTGAAACTGGGCGAAGAGAAAATTTGGACAACTGCACATTCATTCCATAGAATTTTTTCCGCAGTAAGAAGAAAAGACCATAGCTACTAAAAACTCTGCTATGAATTTATTATAACATGGTATAAACTGAGTTAATGTTGCAGGTTCATCTCAACATTATTCATCTCCCAGAAAATCTCAGCTCCATCAGCAGCAGGTCTCAATCCCTAGAGTGGATCTTCACAGCCCAGATTATCTCCAGGATTCACAACACTACAACAGCTCATACCACCAGAGCAAGAAAGACAACTCTGGTGAAGAGAGTGGAGAGTCACCAGCAGATGATGAAAGTACACAAAACAATCCAAGCTCTAACAGTGAGATTCTGTTTGAATCCAATGCTGGGGACTCAAGACTGTCAAGTTCTGTCTTCGCTAATCAATCAAGTGAAGTAAAAGAGGGAGACAACTTAGTCAATTCAAGGGAACTAAGTCAACTTCACCAGAAAGAACAAGAGGTAGCTGATTGTCAGGACATTTCTAATAGAAGTAAAAAACTTATCATTTCCCCAAACGGAAGAAAAAGTACCAAAAATAATAACAGTTCACAAGTTCAGGACAAATCAGAGCCAAGTAATCAAAAGAGACTTGTGTCAGTTAGGAGACAAAATGTAACAAGAACAGACACTTCATGTGTACAGAGCAGTGAAGTAGTGGCAGGAAAGAGTCCATCTCCAAGAAAGAGAAGGGCACAGGACAGAAGTAATGAGAGAAATGAAGTCCAGGGTTCAGTACAGAAACAGTTAACCTTGAATCCAGTTAAGAAAAAGAAACAGGATACAGAAGAAATATCAGAGACATTAGGACAGTCGGCCATTCAGGTTTGTCTCTCTGTGTACTACATTATAATGAATGATGGTAGTTTCCTTGAATGAATTCTGGATATCTTTGTCTTTATGTTACCTTATAAAAAAAACTTTGCCTAAGCAAAAAAATGAAGAAAAAAATCAGATGAGCTTTTCTGATTGGGCTTTGAATAGTATGAAACCGTATGCAATAGTATATTTGTCCTGCTAGTATGTAAAGTTTTAACATTATATCAACTTCTCTAAAACTGAAGTTGAACCACTGGAAAAGTTTCCACAAGACCTTAAGTGCTTTAATATGGAGTAGCCTTTAAGGAGAGCTGATGCACTAACTAAAACTGTAAAATCAGTAACATGGTCACACTTGCAGTAGAATAAAGTTTAGGGTAGGGTGGTGTAATTTCGACCAATTATTTTTTTATACTTAAGATTTGTTAAAGCATGTCACTGTTATGTTATTTTACAACTTTTACTGGATCCTTTTTCCTTCGAAATACCTTCTATCTTTCAGATTACTTTGATTTTATATATAATTATTGGTCATCATATAAAATAAATGCATTCAATTTACGAAATATGTGTGTTAGATAACTTCGACCGCACACGGGGTTATTTCGACCGATGGGGCAATATAAAGGAAATAACTGGCGTCAGCTCTACTATAGTAAAAAGAAATATGAATTTAAATTTTTCTGCTGTGGAGCATAAAAGATTTAGTAAAAATACTGACAAAAAGATGGCAATTTTCAAAATGTATCTAATTCAAAGACATCGCGTGTACAAATGTACACGTACAGGCATCTAAACCGCATGTAAAGAAAAGAAATGATTTTTCACTATTGTAGAACTAGTTTCTACCGAGTATTCATGTACACAATACTTATCCTAATTTTTTTTACGGACAGTCATGAATTCTTTCTGGTAACAGATAGTATTGCATCATTTTTTTTTTTGGTCAAAGTTACCCACTGATGCCGTATTCATGTATGGATAACTTCGGTCGATTTCTGTTCAGCTGATTTGCAATTTAATTTGTAAAAACTAAATACTATAAAGGATCACTTCATTATAAATAGGAATTTGACATATAGGACCGGGATTGGTTTTTTTCTCTACAAAAACCTTGTCGATTTCCGTTCTGATTAATGGCATTAGGCTGAACACATATAACAATTTGTTTTTCCTAAATCTTTTTTCAGCGAGTAGAGGTATGGGGAACCCTTTCATTGATTTCCTGAGTTTGTTATCTCAAAATGTAATAATTGATATTTGTCATAACTTCTCAATAAGCATAATGGTAGTGTTTACTGCCTCTGAAATTCTATTCTTTATGTTTAGGCAATTTTATCCCTGAATGTAGTAAAACATTCCATTAATGTATGCAAATTATATAGGCCTAAATCAAATCCGAGGGAGTACAGTTACTGATATGTATGTAGCCAAAATCAATGTTATTAAATCCTAAGGAATATATACAATTGACATTCATCGCAGCTCAATGCTGCCAAATGTACCTGTATTAAGTAACACAGAGTGAGTTATTCTTGTCCTCGGAGAAAGTGTGCTTAGGCCTTATACTGAGGTTTGCTCCACCTGACTGACAACTGTACATTGGATTTTCATGATTTGATATCTCTTTCGTGTTTCTTATATCAAGATGGGCATGCATAAAGGATATATAATTGAAGGAAAATACACAAGGCTATAAAAAAAATATAAAATTGGCTTTGAAAAGTCGAAAATTTAAAAATTTAAAAGTGTGGTACCAGGTGGATTCGAACCCCCGACTTTAAAATGTTAGTGTGCACACTGTAATATAGTCAGCATATATATCAACTGACCTAGTCTGACTATACGATTTACCGGTATAAATTTGAAGCAGATTATCAAAATCAGGTTTCCTTATTTTTTGCTGGTTTTTTGTGAATTTCACCCCTAAAAAAATCCCATCTTTAATTAATCCTTACATCCAAACCTATCCAAATATCACAATTTCATTTTGTCCACCTGCTAGTACATGTAGGCCAAAATTCATGCAAAAATCAAACTTTCTCTACAAAATGGTGTTGAGGCCAACTTTGGAGGTGTATTGTAAAGTTATAAATAATAAATTTTAGGTATAAAATACAAATTTGAAAAATTAGACATACCGTTAATCATTAATTAAAACCGCCCCGGGCACATACAAAATTGCAGTAGAAAAAGGGGCGGTCATGTTTTTATAAGATGTTAAAATTTTGTTTTAATAAATGTCATATTTTAACTTACAATCTTATTGAAAAAAAAAACAAATAACAGAGTAAAAACATGGCTGTCCTTCCTTTAAATTACAATATGCTATATATTAATTTTCCCACTTGGCATTAGGGAATCGACAAGGAGAAAATTTTTGTAGAATTTTTTTTAACTTTCATCAGAAATACATGATTAGGTCGTTCTAAAAATCTTTTACTTTCAAGAATATTTGATGTATGAGTTACCTAATAACAAAGTTTCATTTTCACTTTCTTCATTACTGGTAGAAAATTTCTGGATGATTTTGATCACTGTCACTTGGACAAATTTCAGTAGACAATTTGAAAAAGACCGCGTAGGGGGCGTAAATTAATAGGGGCGGACAATAGGGATTATAGGTATATTTGTATCAGAAAACAACAAATAAAGATTAATTATACAATGTCAATTTTTCTGGGAAATTGTTCTCTCCTATAGGTCAAATCTTTTGTCAAAGCGAATACATTCTTAAAAGGGTATGAATTTTTTCAAATTCATATTTGTTAAATGTCACACCAGGGATATCCACTGATTGTCTTTCCGTACAAGATTTTTCTGAGGAGATAATTCGCCATAGTGGCTAAAACTATACTCGTCTGTAATTTTTCGGATGATAAAGCCTTTTCTTGGATGTTATTTTCCTACAACGATCTTAATAACACTCATGGATATAAAATTATTATCGACACAATATATTAAAAATACATTTTCTTTTTGCATAATATATTAAATGTACATACGCAATTATATGCCATATACAAAATATTTAAAGGTATTTATGAACGGTCGAAATTAACCAGATGGTCGAAATTACACCACCCTACCCTATGTCATATTTTTTAGGATTTAGTAGATTTTGTGTTAATAAATGAGGCCTAAAATAAAATATTATTTGTTTGCAGTTGCCTACCAACCCACTGAAAATGCACCCGACCCAAACTTTTTTTTAAAGCCATTTTGTATTATTATTTTTTTTTCTACAAATTTTTCAGGATATTGAAAGTGTTTCTATGTCAATTTTTGTCTAAAATCTGAAAACACTTTAAAATTCTGTTTAGTATACAGTGGAAACTCCGTTGGTACAATCCAAAGCGAAGCTTGTAAAGCCAAGAGTTATCATAACAGATGTCTCCGACAAAAAGAAGAAAAAGGAGAAAATCAGAGACAAAAGCACAGGTAAAAGATGTATCACTGATTATTTGTTGTTAAGAAGATTATCTTGTGAATTTCGATGTAGTCCAAAAATAATATTATACTTTGCATAATTTGCTGCAATTTGACTCATTGCTTTTCATTCTTTTTTTAATTTGCTCAATGAATTATTTCTTTTAAATATAAATGATGCAAGGTTAGGTTTTAATGATATGTGAATGTGTCTGGATTGACTACACATTTTCATTTAGAACTGGTCATGCATATGTGGACAGGCAGAGATGGTGTTCGTCGGAAGAAAGATATAACAGACCTTGATGTCATCATGCACTGTGTTACAGAAACATTAAACAAGTGCAAGTAAGAAAAAAAAAACTATACTATCAAAGTTAGATAAATTTATGATATGCAACAATGGGTCTTTGATACAAAACACAAAGTAATTTTTACTTGATTAAATTTATGAATAAGTGGCGTAATTTTGGTAATTAGGAAGAAATTAGACAGAACTGCAAGATGTCAAAATGTTAGGTTAATGTAAAAGAATCCATATGTGAAAATTCCATGGGCAGAGTTGAGAATGCAAAGGTGATTGTTTTTTTTCAGCAAGACATTGGAAATTCTACGTAATAACAAACAAAAAAAGCCATAGTTTATTCCCCACCTTCCCAATGCATGTTGTAAGAAGACTATAAAAACTCATGTGCAATATATTTTACATGCTTTTTTGTATACTGTACTCGTACACGTAGTAGAAAATTTGTTAACATAAGGATGATTTAAGGAATAAATAAAATGTCCATGTTGTCTGAGAATGCATGACAGTTTACTGGTATATTTCTAGAGAACAGTTTACAGAGAAACCACAGCAAAGGGCTCTGAACAAATTCAGTTCTCAAATAAATGCTGATCTTGCATCTCAGGTGAGATATTTTATTAGTTACCTATATTCGCTAGAATTCAGAAGAATTTTGAGATGTGCCATGTACTATCACACTTTTAAGGAAAATGAAAGTCAAGAGACGAAGTATTTTTCTATTATGATTGAATGTAATAATTCATTTTTATCTCACATCGACAAAGTTTTGATGAGCTTATGCCATAACCCCCATGTCGGTGATATCTCGGCATCAAGTTAAAGTTTTAAGTTTTAAAAAACAAGTCCATTTCCAAGAACTATAAGCCCTACCTGATCAAAACTTGCATTAATGATGCATTTAGGGATGGAAACTACCAGACTTGCTTACGATGCTGGAACTGAACTACACTTTTCAGATGAAAGGAGCAGGATTTTTTTTTTCAGATGTTATATTTAAGGCTTGTTATGGTTAAACTTGCATATATGTTGCATTTAATAATAGACTCTTAAAGACTTTCTTTGGATGTTGGAACTGACCTACATTTTCTAGATTAATGAACAGGTCAAAGTTTTTAGAGCAGGTCCATTTCCAAGTAACTGTAAGTTCTAATTAAATGAAACATGCCTGAATAATGATCTTGAGATGCAGACTAGAAAAAAAATGTGATGTAAGAATTACCAACAGGTACTTTATAGATAACAATTGAGCCTTGTAATCTTTGATTCTTTAATTTTTTTTAGATTGAGAGAAAGCAAAGTACAAAAAAAATAAATTCAGATGTGAAAAAGGTAAGCTTTCTGTGCACATAAAAACATTTTTTAAAGTGGAAAGTGAATGTTCCAAAATATTTTTGGTGTATTTTTTTATTTCCATGAAAATTTTTTTTTCTAAATTTTTTTTTAAAATCTAAATAATGATAAAGTTTTTAAAAAAATTTCAATAAAGAAATGTTTCAAAAACTTCAATAAAAAGAAATGTTATCAGAAAAATTTTTGTTTTTAATGGGGTGTATTAAGTGCTTGTTATAATTAGCAGATTTATTTTTACTATAAGCAGAGACAGGCAACACCTGCATTAACTCCCCAAATTTAAGACTTCCACTTTTAAAATTTTGACATGTGCTTGACCTCTTTAAATGAAATAAAGTGTTCTCTGTTACATTGTCCTAATGTGGCATGGTTTATGTTCATTACTATGCAATTTAAAAATCCATCAAAATGTGTTTTCACATTGGTGTTTGAAAACAGTAGCTTGGCATCTTTTCATTTTTATACTAATAAAGCAATTTCATGAAAGATAAAAGTTCTTGATGAATATATTATTTCTGAATTAATACTATAATAATAAAGACTTGAATAACAATAAACATGAGAAAGTTACTTTTACTCAATGTACATAGGAAGTGTTGAAATTGAATATTTTATGAAAGAAAAGAAAATGCATTTTAAAATGTATACAAGGTTATATCCTGAGAATCATATCTCTAAATTTTTATTTATTTTCCGTACAGAGCAGAAAGAATATGCAAGCATTAATAAAAGTTTTCAATCAAAAAAGACAAGATTAGGAAGAAAATTCTTTTACTAAAATATATTTAAAATAGAAACTTGCCAATGTCACAGTGTTGCTTGATAAAGGCTCTCAGAGGCTTAACCTTCTGACACACTTGCCCTTTTGACAAGTGGACTCGGACTTGATCATTATTTTAATGAGGTATCAAATATTCTCATATTAAGAAAAGATCATACATTTAGGCCCTGGTTTGCGAGGATGGAAAAACTGAAGCCAAAAAAAGACAGTTATATAACATTTTATAAAAATAAACTATTTCTAATAAGGATGAAACAAAATTATCTTGTGTTTATTTGTAGATCTTTAAAATATAAATGAAATGGAAGTTTTCATGACATCAGTAGCTGGATGTTTGGATTTCAGAAATTCATAAAAAATAACAGGACCCAGATGACAAAGCTGGCCGCCATTAAAGAAGAGGTATTGTTATTGTTTGATAAAATATATTTTTCTACCTAAGATAAAGTTCATATGAAATAATATATGTTTATTTCAGTAACACTGTGTTTGTTTCTATCCAACTCTTTGTCATGTCATATTTTTCTTTTGCAGGACTTTGTCAAAATTGTATATGAAAATCAATAAAATGGCTGATGGGTAAAGAATTTTTATTGGGGCTTATCAAACTTTAAACATTTAGTAATATAACCAACCTTATTTACTGTAAATCACTTTATTTGCAAAAACTTTATTTTTGCATAATTACGCGAGACATTGAGCTTGCAAAATGTCATTCTCACATAAAATATTCACAATTTGATTATATTTATGCATATATCAATTTGAAATTTGGTATGTTTGGGCCTTATTGTGCCTTAAAAAATTAATGTTCTTAAAAATTTATGAAATTGGATTTGACAAGAGTTGAGTAGATGAATATGATAAATCATTAAAGAATATGGTATGAAGGAGGACCGTTCTGGAATTCTGACATCTTTAATTTGGTACATTTTTCCTTGGTATTTGAAAACCATGGCTTGGTATCTTTTCATTATGATACTAATGAAGTACTTCATAATTCCATGTAAACAATTTTTCAAAATGCTACTCCTCCTACAGTTTTGGTCTGAATTCAATATAACTTGGCACACAAGTAATAAAGACATAATATTTATATCGGTTTTTGATTTCGATGAACGGTGTTACCGTGGTTACTAAAAATAGAAATTTCTGTGAAATTCTTTCAAAATGCTACTCCTCCTACAGTTTTGGTGTGATTTCAATATAACTTGGCATACAAGTAGACTACACTAAGAAAATTTTATATCAGTTTTTGATTTCGATGAACGGTGTTTCCGTTGTTCTAAAAAAGCAAATTTTTATGAAATTCTTTCAAAATGCTACTCATCCTACAGTTTTTTTTTTTCAATATAACTTGGCATAAAGAATATGCAAGCATTAAGGAAAGAGCTACAGGATCTTCAAATCAAAAAAGACAAGTATGAAAAATGATGTATAATCTTTACTAAAATGTATTCAAAATAGAAAATTGCCAATGTCACTACAGTTTTGATAAAGGATTTCAATATAACTTGGCACACAAGTAGACTTACCCTAAGAACAATAATTCTTTTTATTGGTTTTTATTTTAATGAACAGTGTATGCTATTGTTACTAAAAATAGAAATTTTCGTGAAATTCTGTCAAAATGCTACTCCTCCTACAGTTTTGGTAAATTTCATACCTGGCACACAAGTAGACTACACTAAAGTACATAATTCTGTTTATCAGTTTTTGATTTCGATGAACGGTGTTGCTGTTGTTACTATGAATAGAAATTTCTGTGAAATTCTTTCAAAATGCTAAACATCCTACGTTTTATCTGATTTATATAACTTGGCACACAAAATGCTTCATCAGGTACATAATTCTGTGTATCAGTTTTTCACTTTAATGAATGGTGTTGCCATGGTTACTAATAATAGAAATTTCTGTTAAATACTCTCAAAATGCTACTCCAAATACAGGGTATGGATTAAAATATGATGTGGCATGCAAGTAGACTACCGCCTAAGAACAGAAAGAGACTTAATCAATCGTATTAGCTATTTATTGCTGTTGAAAAAATTTCAACTGCAGACTTTTCTCTTCCTTGGCTATAAGTACAAACCAGTAGAGCTTCAGTCTCGACAGAGACTTCTGGTTAAGTTTAAAGCAGAAAAAGCCTCTGAATGACTCATTTCTGTGCTTATTTTCCTTTTGAAAATAGTGTCGGCCACCGTCATCCATTATATAATTTTTTATAAAAATAAACTGCTTTGAAAAATCATATACACAAAATTATCCATATGTTTCATACAAAAGTAAATCCAGTGAAAATTGTGTGTATTTGCAACTTTTTAAGAAAATACGGGAAAATGCACAAGTTAATGACGTCACAATTAGCATTTAGGAGGTCATATGAGAAAAACAATTTGTGTATTCTTACTGCATGGAATTCCTATGATTCAGAAAGAATGAATTTTAATTTCTTATATTACTTTCATATTTTAGAAAAATATAGGACTTAATTTGTATTGAAACTGTACCTTGCTCTTATGACTCACTAGGGCTGGGACGATACAACTTTTCATATGGATAATATATGTTTATTTCAGTAACACAATGTGTTTATTTGCTTATAAAATCTATTTGTCATGATATAAACAAATTTTTCTTTGCAAATAAGAATAATTTATTCAAAAATTGTGTATATGGTCAAACAAAAATTTTTATAAATTGTGTTAATTATTATTTATTTCATATTATTTATATTTCTTATTTATCTTTATATATTAACCCCAAATGTTGAATAAATCACTTTATTCGTAAAAAAAACTTTTTTTTGCGATAATTTCAATATTTCTTGCAAAATGTCATATCTCATCGTGTAAAAGTATTCCTTACAATTATATAGAGGAATAACAACAATTCATGAAAATGACTCACTAGTAAAGAGTCAATGACTTACTTGAAAAATAAGGTGTCACAAAAATTTAGTGATCTACAGAATGCAATTTTTCATTCAAATATTTTAAGAAACCAAAAAAAGGCAATACTCAGTCTAAAGAATGAGAATTAATCAAAGTACGCAGAATTTGAAATAATTTAAAACTTTTAGAAGTGGGTCTTGGATTGATATGTAATTTATTCTGCTTCTTTGATTGTAAGGTTAATGAATTGATGATATCAAAATACATAAGGTCCTTGATCACTGTGGAAAGGCCACATCAAATGTATATAGAATTAAATAGTTACAGTATTGCCTTTTTAAAAGTTGGTGTCTTGCATAACAAAAGATGATTCATTGTGATAGACTGTTTAAATCTTTTAAAAATAGATATGCCTTTTTAATTATCTTTTTGGCTTTGAATGTAACTGTATTGACTTCCTTGATAACACACTGATTAACATTATGCATTCTATTTAATTAAAGATTGGGGCATGGATCTTTAACAATAACATTAACAGATTGATGTCTGTAACATACAAACAAAAGACTGTCAGTTATTATTTAAGTGCAGTGATGACGCCACAATTGAGGCAATGAATAACTGTGTTTTTTAAATCCACCACTGTAATTCATTACTGATTAGTCTTTATCTGGGTTTGCATTGTGTGTGTTGAAGATGCTGTTTGTCAAAGCCTTTGGAATTTTTACCTGCATAACTATCGCCTGTGAAGTTTCATACTCATTGAAATCAAAGAGTGAAAATAGTAAAAAATTATTACATACATTGCTGGTCAACAGAGAGAAAAGAAACTCTCAGAAAGAGGAATTCAGGGACTTTCTGACAGAACTAAAGAGGTTGTTAAAAAAACAAGCAGAAGAGAAAAAATATGATTATCTTACCAAAACAGGAAAAGAACAGACAGAAGAAACTACACAGAAGACAACAAATACTGAGTCAACAAAACCTCAGAGTAATCTAGAAACAATGACGATCAACGAGGATCTTTCTATGAGAATGGTGGATCATCACGGTAAAAAGACATTTAAAGAAGCCGACACTAAAAACCCCAGAACCAGTAAAATGGCTGAGGCCCTCTTAGAAGAAGACACACACGATTATCACCCCAGACCAGTGTGGAGGAAGACTGTGAAAGGCAACAAAAGAACCTTTCTGAAGGGAGATAACATCTTGTGGATGAATGGCATCATTCCATATAAAATCAATGAAAATGTGGACAGTATATGTCAACAGGAAATACAGGCAGCCATTGCAGTTTTCCACAGTAAAACATGCATCAGATGGGAACCGTATTTAGGCAGTGGTCAAGACCATGTGGAGTTCTTTATGGGTGGAATGAGTTCATCATATGTTGGAAATATAGAAGTGAGCAAATATGGTCGTTTGTATAACTTGACTAGTCAGCCAATCAGCATTGAATCTAGCCACTGTTCCCTTCATGTGGTTCTTCATGAAATGGCACATACAGTGGGAATGACCCATGAACAAAGTCGCAGTGACAGGGATCAATATGTCACTGTCCACTGGGAGCATGTTTTAGGGGGTAAAGATAACCTAAACTTGGTCAAAGAAGAAACTGATAATCATAATATTCCTTATGATTATTCTTCTTTGATGCACTACTCTGTCTTTGCATTTTCAAAGGATGGCAAAAAGACTATTGAATACAAAAATTCAGACTATGAATTTCTTGGCCTTCGAGAAAATTCTTTATCTTTCTATGATATTGAGGACATAACCAAAGCATACAAATGTTCACAGAAATGTCCAGACAAGAAGTGCCTGAATGCAGGATATGTGGATCATACTTGTGTTTGTAAGTGTCCTGAGTATCTTCGTGGTGAACAGTGTGAGGAAGTGATAACAAGTGATTGTGGTGGGGTAGTCGAGCTATTTGCAGAAAATGAGAAAAAGTCCATCTTATCACCTAATTACCCTCAGTCATATTCAGTTGGAGACACGTGTGTTTGGTTAGTGAAGGCTCCCTTTGGAATGAAGATTGAGCTGACCAGCAATGATTTTGACCTTCCAGATGGCAGTTCAAATCAGTGTTATCATTGGCTAGAAGTAAGGTCCAATCTGATTGGTCAACCAGGCCCTTTGTATTGTGGAGATTCTCTTCCAGTGATTGAAACATCTTTAGGGAGCGAATCTCACTTACTTTTGCTTAAGTTTGACTCTTCCTTCCAGTTCACCAAATCTGGTAAGGGTTTCAACTTGATTGTAACGTCAAAAATTAGCCCCACACAGACAGATCCAAACTCTTTTTCAAGTACTTCAAACTCTTTTTGTGAGTCTCATCCTAATTGGTGTTATAACGGAGGATCGTGTGTGATAAGTAATGATGATGTCAGCTGTGTCTGCCCAGATCAGTTTTCAGGGAAATTCTGTGAACATGACGAAAATGTGAATCAAATTGCAAGTCAAACTCCAGTTGAATTAGGAACTTATAATTGCAAACCTGCAATAACGTGCAGTATGAAAGGTCTAACGAGTAAATACTCATGGAAGGTTGTGGACAATTTTCTAACGGTTATACCAAGACAAGGAACAAAGGGAGATGAGGCCGAAATGTTCATCCCTTTCAAAATTGCTAATCGTGACATGAATATGAAATTCACTTTCAGATGTTTCAATGCTGGTAAATCTGATGTTACATTAGAGGTTACACGATACATTGAGAGTGCATACTACCAGTATGATGAATCTGTTTACATAGGGCGATGTGATGATTCGGGGGCTGCAAAAGACATATCTATTCCTATTTACCCGTTTTTTGATGAGGAATCCACAATTTTCTTCAAAGCAAAACTGCAAAATGATGGGGATTTCAATATTGCAATTGAAAGTATCTCCATTGCTGAAATTCATAATATGAAATAGTGAAGTTAATGTGTGCATGCATGTAGTTTTAACATTCAAATCTGTTCAAGATTCTATGTGGTGTTTGTGCATACTGTTGTTCCTTTGTAGCCTTGGTTGCAAGATTTTCCAAGGTGAATTAATGGCAACTTTAGTTATATAATGTACAAAGATTTCTTAAAACTCAAGTATTTTTAGATTTGTCGAGTTATTTACTTTTTTCAGGACTGAAGAAACAAATTCAGTGAACATATACAGTGATGAAAGTGGAGTAACTGAACACATGAACAGATCTGGTTACCATCATGTTTAATAAAAAACGATTATAATTATTCTATATTTAATATATGGAATATCATGAAAATGATGTCTGACAGCTGAAATTAAATGTTATTGTTGACTTGAAATCAAAGCAAGTTAAATTATAAATTGAGTGAATTATGATTTTGTTTTCATTACTTTTGGACTTAAAAGTCATCAACAAATATTGTAATACCTTTAAAGATTGTTTGCTATTTAATGAAATATGTTGAGATAACAAACAGTATTCAGCTCCCAAAATCTTTTCTTTAAAAAAAGTATATAGCAACACCACCAGTTTTTTTTTAGAGGTAAAAAAAAAAAGTTTGATCATTGAGCTTTATGTTGGACGAGATACTAGTAATGTAAACCAAATTTTATTCGCGTGCGAGAAATATCTGCGAGTTTCGCGACCTACGTTAACTCGCGAATATTAATCGCCGCGAACCATTTCTCTTGCTTCGTAATTGTTAAAAAAATTCCTCGGTCGCAAAAATTTATCGTTGCCGATAGATTTAAAACCGAAAAATCGTTAATAAAAGAAGACAGGAATGAAAGTTTGTTTACATTATTGGTCAGCTATGACGTTTACCTTTCACATTGTCGGCGGGATTGGCTATATCAATTATAACAAACACGAAAACAGGTGCAAATGTCAAAATAAAAGTTCAAAGATAATAGCAAAGCATTCACAGACTGTGTTCTCGGGCAATATCGTTTTGTCGAACCTCGATCCAAACTGTGTGATTGAGGCCTAACAGCCTGAAGCAAACATTTTGGTACTTGCGTCCTACAAAATGCATGTTGCCCTCTAACCGACTCAATAAATGTTTAGATGTGGGGCGTGGATCGAGAACCTCCTTCGGACAAGACCGTAGAAACTGAGGTCCTGTGCCGTAGTTAGTTCTGACACGAAAAAAGATCCCTGCTCAATGGCCTTAAGTGTTGAGTATAGGTTTAATATTTGCAGGCGTCCGCTGACAAGTGATATGTATTTCTCTCAATATGAGAGAAAAATTCTCGAAAAAGACATTATACGTCCTAAATGATTATCTACAGGTTATTATTGAGGGTAAAATGCAAAGTGCACACGATCAGCTGGTATTTGTATTGTATGTAACACAGCAGCAGTTCAGTACAGTAAGCCCGAATGCAGTTTAATAAAAATTGTTGCTATCATTGTCAGAGAGAATTAGGATCAACACTGTCAATAATTCTGGATGACGTATGAACCTATTTAAAATATACGTGATAGGTTTACAATCAGATTAATTGTTTGTAACCCAACCAATGATAATCGGAACAATGCAAAGACAGTTAAGATCTTTTGAACTTTAAAATCGTAACCTTTCAGCCAAACTACACAATGATATTCTTATCGGGTTATTGAACAGTTGAAAAGACGTGCAATCTTTGCAAATTGTTTCAAAATCTAATCTTGTAAAAATAATAAAATTAGACAAATTGGAAGACATTTAATTGCGTTTAAGAATTGTTCACACTTCCATTCTTTCGTGAACTTAAAAAAAAAATGGATTGTCAGGCAAAGAAATACAAAAGTTGATATATCAATCTTGTCTTTAATCTTGCATATGTGTTTCCCTCTAGCTCCCCATCTCCTCGGGCCATAGAAAATCGGGGGAACTTTCTACGACGAGTCATTACTGCTGAGAAAAGTGACCTCTGTAAGAGCAGATACTGCCGTGTCCACTGACCGCAGTCTCTGTATTGCCTTCTTTGTCTGGGCTATTTCTGACATTGTAGGCGAACGTTTCTTTAATTTAGTGAGTAAAGGATCATCTTCATTCAAAGTTTCAATCGTTTCCTCTGAGTCTATTGAGTCAAAGTTGGATGCGGAATTGATTTGGTTTTCTTCTTTGGCAAAAGTAGGCGACAAGTTTGGTATAGATTTTGGTAATACTTCGTCCGTTGATTTCCCATATGTACTGTTTGGAAGAACGGATTTATTAGTTTTAACCTGATCAAACTGAGCGAAACGTTTAAGTTGCGTTTTGTTTCCATAGTGACTCAGAAGTCCCTGTTCAAACATAAATAAAACGAACGCTATTCCCACGCATACACTTCCAATTACCGTCCACTCGGACTTTTTCTCCTTGAACCAGTCCCCCAATTCTAAGAATGGTAAGTGGCAAGCCAGTAACAGGAAACTACCCGCACAGAGAAACAGCATCACTGGAATCAAGAGACAGCGTATTTTCCAAAATTTTCGTGCTCGATACTGTCTTTCCAGTCTCCACTTTCGACGGCGTTTAATGTATTCTTCCTGTTTGTATTTGTCCACTTCTGCAAACCATATACTAAATTGTTTGATGCGTTCTTTTTCTTTGGCAACTTTGAGATTTTTCTGGTAGAAACAGCTGCAAAGCCGGTCTTCTTTATTTTGTGACCTGAAGTAAATTACAAATAATGACGATTATTAGAATTTCAATTCCTTGTTAATCAGCAGTGCTTTGACAGATATGTACATTGATACATACCGTTTTGGAAAGTGGTCCACCTCTTCATATTGAAAAGAAAGCTTTGAGCTATGAAGTGGGCTTCTGATGACATTCAGCATGCTGCTTTATCCGTTATAGCTTGCAGGTCTTCCTACCGGCTTACACTGTCCACTTCATGCATTTGATTTTTTTTGGTCGTGTCCCTCCTTGCTCTGTTTCACTCCAAAGGCACTTTACATATAGAGATACAAGGATAGATTTCATAAAGGAATCAGATATCACAACACTGTGACGTTAGATTAATGTTTAATAAGCTTTGCAGGACGTAGTTTACAGGACATAGTCAAACCGTGATTAAATGTTTGACACTTTGCATGTGGTTGTTCAGAGTATATTTTGGCAGATGATTTGCCTCCTTTATGTCTATGAAGTTTTTTTTTTTTTATAGAAAAAGTTTATCATATTGGACTTTATTTTTAGGACATTTTTAAAAATTCTGAACTCGTGTGTCAAATTTTACGCTGCATTGATATCGGCGCCATGGACAGTTGTGAACGAGTAACCCAATACAGAACCTGTGTCTCAAATTGCATGTTTTTTATGAAATTTAAATAGAAGTTTAATATTAACACAATCGGCGAGCCTCCGATCGATCTATAATTCTCTGAGGGTATTTCCCATTTCTCTGTTAAGTTTATTTCTGACACGGACTCTCTACTCACGAAACCGATCCATTTCCCTCTCGGTTTTGTAGCTTAACTGAAACCCAAAAGTTCTTGTTCATTAGTTTCAAATATGTCACTGTCTGGATTATTTTCTGGACTGTGAATTAGGACTTTTATCTCCGCACAAGATGGAATGTGATTTGAACTATCACTTGCGTTTTTATTGCAAGGAATTGGTTGGGGTAACGAATAGACGAATACTTTCTTTAATGATTTACTCTCTGTTAGCTCACTTTCATCATTTTTGTCTGGGGCTTCTGGGTTCTGTGCTAATTTGTCCGTCCCCGGAGCAGCTGTTTGGAGATCGGTTCCTATGTTGAAAACACTACATCTAGTTTGAACATTTTCTTCGCTTAAAGAGACATGTTCTTCCTCCTTGGTAGCAGTGTCTTCTCTAACATTTATACCACTTTGAAATGTCCTTAAAACCCGCAGTTTATTCATTGCTCGTAGAGCTGATTTGTTGGTGTTGGAATTTACATTGTTATGAGACCGAGAGGACTTAATTTCTTGAAATAAAAAATTGGAATTTCCAGTTTGCTTTACATGAAGCTGATCTTTATATTTCGCTAAAGTTCTGTCCTTGTTTTTCATTACAGACTTTTGTGCTGTTATGATACCTTCAAGCAAACGGAATGATACACTTTCAGGTTTATAGGGTAAAGCAGTGGATGTAGGCATTTTAACATATGTAGCCGATACAGTTTGTGGGTTTTCTTTTTCCTGTCGTTGGTTTTCTATGCTCAGCTGCAGATCTTTGATTTCATGAACACGGACCTCTTCAGAAAACGACACCTGTGAATTGCTTGAAGAAAGTTTCCGATTAGTACCTTTTTCATTTGTAGAAAGTAAAGAGAAAGATTTCTCAAATTCTTCTAAATCTTCTATTGAATGGCACATATGGTCTGATGAGTTCATGGACGAATGTAAAGAAATTGATGCATTTTTCATGGAAGCTAGTTTTATTGACTTTTTTATCGCAACAAGTCGTGAGACTTTTTCCCTGCGGTTTGTGACTAAACCGATAGAAACCAAAAGTAACACAACTCCTAGAACCAAAAGCACGGGTCCCAAGATGTAGAATACTTCTCGATATTTCCAGAGAAAGGTTTTCTCAGTAAGGCCTGGCACATTGCTCCCGATGGAAAACACAAATCCAATTAATAAACATCCTAATGTGGGAACGTACAGTTTATTGTAGAGCTGAAGGCGTCTGTCCATATTTATTTCCTGTTTTCTTCGTCTTTTGCTATCGCGTCTTTTGGAGAATTCCCTATCCTGAACAGTGGTAAACATATCATTTTCCTCGTTAAACTTGTCTACAGCCTTGCGAAGGCTCTTGCTCTTCTTTCCTTTTTTCTCCATTGTAAATGAGTTAGCGCCTCCTACAACGAAATTCGAGTCTTAACATCTGTAGATAAAGTAATCTCATCGTGCACCGTGGGTGCACGCGATTTTACATGCGGGATAAAACTAATCCTGGAATTGCAGATACTATCGTCAAATGTTTAATCATACAATTACTGTTGAAGTCATACTGTGATTCTAATACCTTAAGAAGATTTTCGGGAAAGACTTTGGAAATCAGAACTTTAAATGCATATTTGCTTCGGAAACAGTGCCATCTATTAACTATTGCAAAGCAGCTATTGTTGCATATTGTTAAGACTTACTGCTTGCAATATTAATTTTATTATCATTTTTATGTACCAATTAGGTCGAAGAATGAGATTCTTTAAAGCATTGAAAATTGAAGAAAAAAATAATATGACATAAATTTATTCTCACCACAACTTTGTAAACCTTTGTAAACACTCGTGTTTACTGCATTCAATCCAAAAGCCAGAGATGACAAAAAGATGAAAAAGTCAACATTGTGTTGTTGGCGCTCATTTCTTACAAAAATATTTCAATGGTAGCTTTTTTGTTATTGTCACATACCTGCCATTACTTTTTGCGATAGTCACCTTAAGACCGTTAATTATAGGGTGAAAGTAATCGTATTGGCTATATAGGTTATTTATACATCTACGAGGAAGGCATTACAGTGTATTGCTTGAAGCTTTGTGCGTCTACATAATTATGAATTTTGATAATTCCTTAATTCGAAAAGCTTTTTTCTAACACGTTCAAGACAGAATTGGCAGCTTTGTTATTGTAAAGCCCTCGAAATCTGACAAGGCTGAACTAGGGAAAGAAAATCTGATCAAATATTCATATCAGGTCTAAATACTTTTATATGGGAGCAAAGGTTCTCTTTAATTTTAGAGGGAGGAAATATAAATATATTTGAACTCGAGGGGTTTCAAATCTGTTATGCAATTGTAAATCGAACTTTCAACTAAAGTATAATCCATAGATTAGTGACGTCAGGAGAACATCTGCTTTAAAACTTAAAAATGATTAATGCATTATCCTTGATAAATTCCAGTGTCAAAGAAATGACCACTCGTATGTAGGTCAAGAGAGAAAGAAAGGAAAATAAATAAACTTTCATTTTTGTTTACAAATACGAGTTTCTTCTCATCCACGATGAAACACTGATTCAATAAAATATGGATCGCACTATCGTGTAGGTTTTGGTCTATACCCGGTAGTGCGATAATGCGATGGTACGATGAGTATGAAGCGATGATGATAAAGCGATGTTCAATACCGCTTTATCAAGATATCCCATCTTACCATCGTCATCTTGCGATTGAACCATCGCTTTATCATCATCGCGCTCCCGCTTTATCGTCATCGCATCATTGTGCCATCGACCCTTTAGTCGATGCTTGATTGTACGATAGTGAACTACGTTGCCCTATCCAGATTCCAGAATTTGAAAGAAATTTCATCAGATAAATATATTTTTCTGAATACGGAGTCGTTGCCTGCTGGGTTAAAAACATTTGCTTTATAGTCGCGGAGTAAGAAGTTAATACATGTGCTTCGGTCGAGGGTTCGAATCCCACTGCGAGCCGTACGTGCCGAGCACCAATCTTCCATGCAGAGTTGTCGTTCTTTACTCTCTCAGACGCAGTGAATGTATATGAGCCGATGGTGGAAAGTGGTCGAGTATAGTTTTAAGTTTTTGGAGGTCCATTCCCAAGTACCTATAAAGCCTACATAAACCATACTTGCATGGATGATACATCTAGTGATGTACACTACCACACTCGCCATGGATGCTGGACCTGACTTAGATTTTCCAGAAGAGTGAACAGGTCAAAGTTTTTAATGTATGTCTCATTTCCAAGTTACTATAAGCTCTATGTTGATCAAACTTGCAAGGGAGATACATCTAAGGATGCATAATACCAGGCTTGCTTCAGATGCTGGATCTGACCTACAATTTCCGGATGATTGAACAAGTTACAGGTTTTAGAGCAGGATCATTGTTCCCCACACTTGCATGGGTGATTCATCTAAGGGTGCACACTATCAGGCTTGCATGCATCTAGATTTTCCATATAATCTTTGGGTGTACACTTTTAGATTATTAATTAGATAATGTGGGACTTTGCCTTACTTAAAGACAAACATTCCTTGAGATGAGCTCTGTAATCTCTGATTACCTATGTTTTACTTGTCTGTTTGCAAAAACATTAACCTTGCCTATAACTTTTGAGTGGGTCGGGTTATGTCTTTCATATTTCACATGTGTATTTCTTGTGACAAGACCTTACTTTGGGTACCACTAAATTTGATTTTTTCACCTTGACCTTGGAGTTTGACACACTTTTACACACAAAAATTCCAACATTTTACTTTGGTCATTACTTCTACACGGTGGGTTCTTTCATACTTCACTAATGCATTCTTTGTGACAAGACCTTCCATTGGATACTAACAACTTTGACCCTTTGACCTTGGAGTTTGACCTACTTTTTAAAAACTTTTACTTTGGCCGTAACTTTTGAACGATAAGGGTGAGGACTTTCGCATTTTACATATGTAATCCTTGTGTCAAGACCTTTCATTAGATACCAACAACTTCGACCCTTTGACGTTGGAGTTTGACCTACTTAAAAAAAAAGTTTAACCCTGGCCATAATTTTTGAACGGTTCGGGCTAGGGCTTTCATTCTTCACACATGTAATCCTCGTGACAAGACCTTTCTTTAAAAACCAACAACTTTGACCCTTTGATCTTGATCCTGGAGTTCGACCTACCTTTAAAAAACTTTTAAATTGGCCATAACTTTTGAACAGGTGGTGCTAGGGCTTTCATATTTCAAATACTAGTATTTCTTGTGAGGAGGACTCACTTTGAATATTTGAAAAAAAATTAACCTTCGCTGTGTTGGGGGTCAATGGTTCACAAACATATCTTATTTAGACAACATTTACTTTTTCTTCTAGATGCAACTAAGACGACCGGACATTTCCTTTGAACTATTCTCTCCGTACTTTGAATGTGCCATTGTTGAGGGGAAAAGACCTCATGTGCCTTTCTTTCCACCACCCACCTAAACTCTACCTAAGTCCACCCACCTAAACTCTACCTAAGTCCACCCACCTAAACTCTACCTAAGTCCACCCACCTAAACTCTACCTAAGTCCACCCACCTAAACTCTACCTAAGTCCAC